TGAAAAAGGAACTTTAGCACACCATTACAAAAAAAAAATCAACAAATAAAAAAGCAAGACCAATGAGAAGACAGGAACAAAGAAACTATAAATCAGCAAGAAACAAATCAACAATGGCAATTATAAGTCCTTAAATCTTAATAACTAATATAAATATAAATGGATTAAAATCTCCAAGATACAGAATGGTTTAATTGGGAAAAATATATTACAAGGTCCAACTTGATGCTGTCTATGAGAAACTCACTTTAACTTTTATAGAATTAAAGAAAAAGAATAAAAAAAGATATTTCATGGAAATGGTAACTCAAAGAGCAGGGATTAATGCACACCTCATAGAAAAAAAAAACAGACTTTCAGTCAAAAATCAGCCACTAGTGAAAAATAAAGTCACTGTACAAAGGCATGAATACTTCAATTGGATATAACAGATGTAAATATATACGCACATAATGTCAGAAAAATATAAATATATAAAGCAAATATTAATAGATTTGAAAAGACAAATAATAATGCAATAATATTAGGAAACTTCAAAACTATGCTTTCAGCAACAGATAGGTTATTTAGAGAAAATATCAATAAGGAAATGGAGGACTTGAATAACACTATGGATCAAACAGACATATAGAGACATAAACACTCCATCCAATAGTAGCAGAATACACAATCTTGAGAAGTCCTCTGGAGTTTTTAAGAAAATTCCTGGATAGAGCAGTCTTCAGGACAAATGATATGCCAGGCCAAAAAACAAACTGCAACAAATTTAAGATTGAAATCATGTCAAGTTTTTTTTCTGAACACAATGGTATGAAGTAGAAATTAACAACAAGATTAAAGCTAAAAAATGCATATACAACCTGAAAGTTGAAAAACATACTCTTTAACAACCAATAGGTTATAGAAGAAATTTTAAAAATATTTATTTTTAATTTGAATCTATCCCATTTATTGATTCTTGATTTTATTTCTTGTGCTTTAGGAATCTTGTTAAGGAAGTTGGGCCTAATCCAATGTGATGAAGATTTGGGCCTACTTTTTCCTCTATTAGGCGCAGGGTCTCTGGTCTAATTCCTAAGTTCTTAATCCACTTTAAGTTTTGTGCATGGTGAGAGATCCCTATCTCTTTATTTTCATTTTTCTGCATATGGATTTCCAGTTCTCCCAGCACCATTTGTTGAAGAGGCTATCTTTTCACCAATGTATGTTTTTGGCACCTTTATCTAGTATGAGATAACTATATTTATGTGGGTTTGTCTCTGTGTTTTCTATTCTGTACCATTGGTCTACATGTCAATTTTGTTGTCAATACTATGCTGTTTTTGTTACTATAGCTTTGTATAGTTTAAGGTCTGGTATTGTGAAATTAAAAATCTCTTCTCAGCAAAAGAAACAATCAATGAGGTGAAGAAATTTATAGAATCAGAATGGAATGCCAGTTTCCAGTGATGGAGCAGTGTGGGAAAGTGGGAATGGGAAGATGTGTCAAAAGGTACAAAGTTTCAGTTACAGGATGAATGAGTTATTGGAATCTAATGTACAGCAAGTTGACTAAAGCTCACTCTATTTTATTGTATACTTGAAGTCTAATAGATCTTAAGTGTTCTTATCATCACACACTAAAAAAGATAATTATATGAGATGATGGATATGGTAATTAGCTTGATTGTGGCAATCATTTCAAATTTTATACATATATTGAATTATCACATTGTACAACTTGAATATATAGAATTTTTATTTGTCAATTATACTTCAATAAAATTGGAAAAATTAAAATGTGCCATTTTCTTCTTAAAAGTTTTGACTAAAGAAAAAGGGCATTATGGTTGTTTTTTTTTTTTGGTACTGGGGATTGAATGCAGGAGCACTTAATCACTCAGCCACATCCCCAGCCCTATTTTGTATTTTTTAGAGACATGGTCTCAGTGAGTTGCTAATGCTAAGCACCTCGCCATTGCTGAGGCTGGCTTTGTCTCAGCCTCTGGAGCCGCTGCATTACAGGCATGTGCCACCATGCCTTGCATTAGAGTTTTAAACACAATTCAGGCCAAATAGAAAGTAGTGACAGGAGCTTAAAGCAATCCAGTCTCCCTTCATGCTTCTGAGACAATGATCCTTTTTCATTGACTAGGTTGACAACCCAAAGTGCTATATAATATTGAAATAAATAAATGCATGTCAAAAAAGGAAGTGTGTGAAAACCTGGTATTTCTGCACAATCTAGAGGGAATGAACGGAAGCACTAAGGTGAGAGTCAGGGCAGGGATTGTTCCAGAGCCTTTTAGCTATTTGGGATTGGAATAAATGGTAACAGAGGCAAGCATAAGTAGAGAATGAAAAGTACAAAATAAAGACAAATTTAAATAATCCAGCTTCCTCCAACAACAGGGGTAAACCAATTGACGCCAGGTAGAAAGAAATGGCCAGAGGACTTTGTAAAATTAGAATTTGTGAGTAAATACATTTTTTTTCTTAAAATGCTCATTATCAGGAAATATTACATATATAAGGATATCTCATTATCAGGAGATATCTACATATATCTATAAGTAAAATTGAGCATGAAGTGAGATTATATTTGAGGGTGTGTGTGTTAGATCCTTCTAAATCCTGAGGGATATTATGTGATAGAAAGACATATGAAAAAGTTTAGGAAATAAAGACATAGAGATTTTTTTTTTACTATAAATGGATTATCCTTATTTCATGTTTTCTTCTGGTTAGCATCATTACCTAGATTCTTATTTGCCTGGCATCAACAAATACCTATAGTTTCAATAACACTCCAAAGGTCAAAGCTTTCTTCTTCAGTCTGTGATTTCAGCTAGAATGGAAGTGTGTCAGCTTGGATAAATGCTGCACTCTCTTATTAACCCAAGTGAGAAACAGATACTCTATAGTCATGACAGTTCTAGTTACTAAAATCAGTTATTTTTAAAAATAAGCTCTCTTGTCTGTATAACTCTTATCCAGATAATGTTTGATTTACAGAAATGGAAGCACTTGTTATGCTTGGTGATAACTTGAGTGCCTCTCTATACAGTGGAATAAACTTGTCATTGCAGTAGGAAGTCTTTTTTAAAATCTTGTATTACTAATTTCATTTTAATTATTTCTTGTTTTTTATTGATTTTTTTAAGTACATGACAGAATAATGTATTTTGAAATATATAAACATGAATATAACTTATTCTAACTAGGATCCAACTCTTATGGTTGAGAACATGATATGGAGTTACACTGGTGGTGTATTCATAAATAAATATAGGAAAGTTATGTCCAATTCATTCTAGTCTTTCCTATTCCCATCCCCTCTCCCTTCCCTTCATTCCCCTATGTCTAATCCAATGAATACGAAGTCTTGATTACCTACATGAGGGGGTCAGCTGAAGCTCCCTAGAATTCATTACAATATTATATCAGATTAATATTGTAATTAATGTACAATATTAATATTGTACACAATGTTAATAATTAATATTGTTATATAATAATGTATAATTCTTATACAATAATGATATTAATAATTAATATTAATATTGTACATTCATTACAATATGATCATTACAATATTATTCATTACAATATTATTCATTACTATATCATTAATTATTATATTATTACATATATAGTAATATATATTAGGTCAGAGTTAGGATTAATTCCTTCCACAAAAATTATCTTCTATTTACCCAGTTCCTATATTACCTGCCTTCTACTAGATTTATAAAGGCTACACTTGAGTAACAGAAGCAGTACTTTGTTTAGTTCAAGTGGTTCAATAATCACCATTATGAAATGCTTTGATTTAAAAAAATTCAAGGGCTGGGGATATAGCTCAGTTGGTAGAGTGCTTGCCTAGCATGCACAAGACCCTGGGTTCAATCCCCAGCACCAAAAAAAAAAAAAAAAAAAAAAAAAAAAATTCAATAAGAGAAAATCAAGTCTACTTACAGTTGCCTCAGCTGTGGTAACCTTTCTATGAAGATTCTAATAGTTTATCCTTAACTTTCCCAAAGGGTTAACCCTGGGAAATTACCCCACCATCTGGCCCAGGTGGGCATGAAGCTTTCTAAGTGTCTCCTCCCTACCTTTGCCAAAGCTATTGTTGCCCACTGACTTCATCAAGCACTTGCCAGATAATTTCCATTCTTGTGAAGCGTAATTCCTAATATAATTATTGGGGTTTTTGTGAACCTTAATCCAGCAAAGGCTCACTATTAAAGTCAAGGGTTTGAAACTGTAAACACTATACTGTAGAAATATAGTTAAGAACGTTTTAAAGAGGTTCCTGGGCTTACAAAACAGGAATATTCCCCAAAAATGAAGGTATAAGGAAGAACATTTACATGATAATTTTACCACTAATATGCAACTGGCAGAAATGTCCATTTGCTGAGTTTTACCAAGTATGCATTTCTCTCTCTCTCTCTCTCTCTCTCTCTCTCTCTCTCTCTCTCTCTAATGCACTAAACAAGCAAGAGACTTAGTAAGCAAATTCTTTCTAAATTCTTTTGTTAGATGCAACATTACTCTCTCATTTGCCTGGTAAAGGTTTATCTATTGAAGCTTTTTTCTTAAGGTCAGTTACCCTTGCTTGGCGAGCGTGGCGGAAATTCCTAGTTTTTCTGGACCACTGTGCAGTTTTTGGACTACTGTGCAGTAACTGGGGTTCCAGTGGGTGGGTGGGGCGGTGTGACACGAGGAGGTCCTAAGCCCGGCCCCGCCCCGCCCCATAGTCACACCACGCCCTAGCCCCAATGACCACCCCTCCCCAAGCTCCAGACGGTTGGCAGGTGGCGCCTGCGCTCTGCCCAGGTCCTGATTGGCCTACTGGCACTCCTCAGGTTTCCCCTATTGGCCAGTGGCACTCTTACTGCACCTGTGGGTTGGCTGCTGGACGTTGCCCTGGCAACGAGGGGCTGTTGTGGTTTCGCGCTGCGCAGGGAGTTTCGGGTTGGTTCCCGCCCACCCGCCCGCCGCACACAAAATTTAGTCCTGAGTGCTGTAGGCAGCAGCCAAGGAGACCTTGGGCGGACAGGTGAGCCTGACCGGCGGGGGCGGAGACCACCGCGGGACCTTGGTGCAATCCCAAGTCCTGCAGCCTTTGATTATCTGTGGTATACCCAATATGTACTTGCTGAGTACTGGGAGTGCAAGTTCTCCTTGTTGTGATGTTTCCTTGATCTTGCTGTTTATCCGCACGACCTGCCCCCTTCTGTACGCCCGGCATGCATTCACGTGCCTGGCTGCTTGTGTCCCGACTGTATAACCTGTATGATGTGCCCCTGCTGTGTTGTGTATCCAGTGTGGACTGAACCTTGCTGGGTGTTTGGCGTGCGTTTGTACCTGCTGTGTACCCTGCATGGATGTACAAGCACTTGTGTGTTGTGAGGCATCTTCAGGCATAGGAGGTGAAGGTGGGCAGGACTTGCTAGATGGAGTGGGGTGGGCAACTCTGCAGATGCAGCTCGCAGGGAGTCAGGCCAGCAGCGAACCCTGGGAGCTGCATCTGTAGAGTGTCCCCTGTCCCCCACTCCACCCCGACCCCGCATCTAGCAAGTTCTGCCCGCCTCCACCTTTTATGCCTGAAGATGCCTCACAAGTGCGTTATCTGTCTCTTCCCGCAGCGCTGTCTGCTTCTGGCCATGAGGAACACCAGCAAGGAGGTGCAGGGTGTCTCACACCGCTACGCTCCCTGTGGTGAGTGAGTTGTTCAGATGGTGGAGGTCGGGAGCTAGAAATAATGCTTGAACATTTCTTTGTAATAGTTAACCCTGTATAAATCTCACGTTGTTTTCCTGAATGTCGACTAGGGAACTCCCCCCACCCCCAGTTGTTTTTCCCAGGTATTTTATTGACTTCTAAAACCCTAACCAAATTAAATATTTCTTGCTTTAAGTGGCTGGATGCAGAAAACAAGTATTCAGTGGAGGTTCATGGCTTATGTACCAGGGGATGAAGTTGAGAAGGGAAGGAAGAAGTCTTGAGATGCTGTCTTCTTTTTGTTTTTACTCCACTTTATTTTGGAAGGAAGAGAATAGAGAAGAGAGTACAGGTGCTCAGATGTAAGGGACAAGTTGGAGCAGTTCTTATATGCTCAGAAAGGAAACAAAGGCCCTTCATATACTCTAAATGAACTTACAGGTGTGACTGTTACCACTACTGGCAACCCAGGCCATGCTGTGTATTGGAGGAGAAGGGCTTGGATTCTTAGACAGCCTTCTCCTGGAGCTCTTTCTCCCCCTATCCCTTCCTGTATGTGGGACAGGTGGTGACTCTTTTACTTATTTGAGCCCTTTCACTCTGAGCTCCTCCTTTGCATTCATTTATAAATGGATTATAGTTCAGTGCTTGCCCAAGCTTCCAGTAATGAGAAGGTAGAAGATACACTCACTGTTCTCTGTGGATTAATTAGTAATCAAAACAGAGAGAGGAAAAATAAAGCAAGAATCAAATATCCTCTCTCCAAGAGAGGAAATCTTTGAGCTGAACCTGATCAGAGCATGAAGCTGCTAAATTCTTATTTTTAATTAGTAGATTGATTTTCTGTGATCTTTTGTGTAATTCTTTAAGGCTTTCCCAATGTTTCTTTAATTTTCCAAACCTTATAGTATTGATTTGGCTGTTTAATGTCCTTTAGGTACTTAAAAGATTTTCCATGTTAAATATCATTCATTTTTATGCAGTGAACCCAGCTTTAGTAGAAATTGGATGTCTAAGCTATCAAGCTTTAAAGGATGATAACTTCTTGTTTCCAGGCCCTGAGCAAACTGATTGATTCAGTACTATTTTCCTATGTATGACTGTTAAGGTTTGTCCCAGTGACATAATCAATAGGATATATATAGGATATCTACCTATATATGGAGAAAGGGAGTCTTATTTTAAGGAACTGGCTCAAACAATTATGCAGCAATAAGATGAAATCTGCAGGGCAGGCTGGGACTAGATTGCAGTTCAAGTTAAAAATCCATCTGAGGCAAAAGGCCTCTTCCTCAGAGGATCTCATTCTTCTCCTTAAGACTTTTAAATAATTGGATGGAGCTCACCCATATTGTGGAAGATCATCTGCTTTACTCGAAGTCCACTGATTTAATTTTTTGGGTTTTTTTTTTTTTGTACCAGGGATTAAACCCAGAGGCACTTGACCACTGAGCCACGTCAACATCCTTTTTATTTATTTGTTTTTTAAATTTTGAGACAAGGTCTCACTAAGTTGCTTAGGGCCTCACTAAGTTGCTCAGGGCCTCAATAAGTTGCTGAGGCTGGCTTTGAACTCGCACACAGTCACTTCTGCCTCAGCCTGCCGAGTTTCTAGGATTACAGAAGTGCACTACCATCTCTGGCTTGTCCAGTGATTTAAATGTTATTTTTATATAAAAATATACCTTAATTGAAACATCTAGAATAATGCTGAACCAATATCTAGGTACTGTGTTACAGTCACACTGATACAAAAAGTTTGCCTCACATCTGTCATGAACTGGGTATTGTCTTAATGTCATGAATTTTGTCACAGTACAGTCTGATAAGTGCTATCAAATATACTCTGTCACTGTGTCTCAAAGAATTTGAATCTTTTGAATATCGTATTTTTCCTAGATTTTGTTTATAAACTTTTTAATCAGTTGTGAGGATTTTTTTCTTACATTTGGGCATCTGAATAATCAACTTTGAATGCAAAGAAGTACCTAAAATCACCTACAGTCTTGATGCCCCAGACCTCTTCTCTCTGTAAGGTCATAAATAAACACTAACAACTCCAGGTCCTGAGATTTTGCCAACCTCCCCAGCTATTTATAGAAGCTCCTCCATCTATTCTCCGTGGAGCCTTATAGGCAAGCCTATAGGGTCTGCTCTGGATGCCATCAGCTCAAGGCTCAGGCAGCCTCCTTAATTCTCTGGGTCATGCACACAGAGTTCCTTTCCCTTTCTGTGTTGAACTCATGTCACAGTACAGAGGAAGAACAGGGGGCAAGCTCTCTCATTTTCTTGTCCTTCCCGCTCCCTGCACTATTTTGCCTACGTCACAATAAAAGCCACATGATCTATACTCATCCAACTTAATCTTTCCCAAAGGAAAGTCCTTAGGAATATCAGGCCTATGAAGATTTTCTAGAATATGTGTTTGTTCTGGTGAAATGATTCCCTCATTGCCTCCTTTCCCTCTTTAATACTCATCCAGGCCTCTGATACGTTTTCTTGCCACTGTGGCCTCCAGCACAGTGAAGCCAGCTGAGGGGCTTGTGTGGAAATGGGTTGCTGACTCCAAAACAACAGTTTGCAGTCTGCTGCCAGTGTGGTGGAAGGGAGCCAGGCAGGAGCTGCCATCACAGGTGTTCATTTCATGAGGCTTCCTTGCTTGCCTTCCTGCTCTTGTAAAATTGGTAAACATGTTTAATCAGACTATTGTTCCTGTGACTGGATTTATATTTCAGTATTTTTAACATATTAAGTTCATCAAATGTTGGTCAACATTTTACCACACACTTCATAGTCTTACCTGTAATGTTCTGTGTGAATTAAAATTTTTAAGGATTGCATACTTCCAGCATAACTAGGAATACACTTAAGTCTTCATTTTATGTAGGTGAGAGATTGAGGCAGACAGGCTGGGCTTGGATACCTGTCTAGGAAGCTAGCACACCAGTGGAAGAAACTGGGGCTCTTTGGGAGGAAGGTCAAACCACATCAGAGAAACAGGACTGGCAGGGCTGAGTAGGAGGTGCTTTTCCTTCTCTTGGCAAGAGTGGTTGGCATATTATTATTATCATTATTTTGCAGTTCTGGTTAGTATTCTACCACTAACCTATGTCCACTGATCTTTTTATTTTCTGTTTTGAGACAGAAAGGCCCAGACTGATCTCAAACTTCCAATCCTCTTGCCTCAGCCTCCTGAGTCTCTGGGATTACTGCACCTGGGCTGGTGATTGGCATTTTTGTGGTCTCTAGGGACTTAATTGTCCTCCTGGTCCCAGGTGTTCAGAGAGGGCTCATGTGCTCTGCTCTGTCATGTGTGCTGCCCTGACTGCTTGGTCTGCACAGTCTCAAAGGGGACAGGAGCCCTTCCCTGATGCCAGCATTTCCTACAACCCACACTTAACAGTGAAGCTCTGCTTCCCTCCTGTCTAGATTGGTATTACCACCTGCCCACAAAGCGCTCTGAGAAGGCTGTGGATGTCCCACCAGCGTCCCAGATCCCAGGACTCAGTAATCTGGAAGAATCACACAATGGGAACACACCTGGGACTAGGAAGTACTGGATAAAAGAAACGGACTCAGAATATGTGAAGCTTGCAAAACAAGGCGGCAGACCTGGTAAGCCCTCTGCATGCTCAGTGGCTTTGTGAGCAGGGTAGGGGTGTTATAATTTCATCCATACAAAAATATATAAAATATATTTACTATAAAATCCATAACTTTTGCCCAAGGCCTTTAGAAGTTTAGACTCACTGAGTAGGTTGAAGATGTGTATATTCTCCAGGGGGAAATGGTTTTTGTGATGTTAGACTGAAAAGACTTTGGATTCACACAATTGGTTATGTAAGATATTTTTTCTGAGTGTTACCTTTGGAATCATTATTTCCATCGCCCTCCCCCCTTTTATTTTGTTATTGCAAGGAGAATCTCAGGAAATTGTGCATTTCAAGAGATCTACTTTTGCCCTGTAATGTCCCTTGTTTGATTCAACCAATTCCTGGCTAATTTGTGAAAAGTTTTTGGTTTTTTTTCCTTGCTTATTGTCATTTCCTCTATCCTTATTATAAATAGATTTTAAATAATGTTTCAATGGTAATGTTGATGAAAGTCAATTTTAATGCAAGATTTAATTGAAAAAGTTATGATTGAATATTTGAAAACTGAGGCATATTGAGTTCAGTAGAAATCACTGATCAGAGGGTTGAGGGAACATCTCCCAAATGTCTCACTGCTAGCCTTTGGGAAAAGTGGCAATGACAAATACTAAACTTTTCTTTTTTCCCCTTTGCCTGCTATCATCCATACAGAGAATTTCATAGGGATAATGAAAAACAAAATGGCCATATCTGTGCTGCTTTAACATTAAAAAGTCCATAACAACCCATTTACCTGACTACGCCTAAAGTAGGTAGAAGACCTAGACACTACCTTCCCCTGCCATTGGTTGACAGAACACTAGTGGGATAACTGGCAAAATTGGAATGAGTTCTGTAAATTAGATAAAAGTATTGCATCAATACTGCCTCAATCATCTTTGCAACACTCTGACAAAATCCCTGAGATAAACAACTGGGGAGGAGGAAAGGTGGATTTTGGCTCACAGTTTCAGGAGTTGCCATGCATGGTCACTTGGCCCAGTTGTTTTGGGGACTGTGAGGCAGTACATCATGATGGAAGCACATGGTAGAAAACGTTGCTTATTTCATTGCGGCCACCAAGCAGAAAGACATAAGGGGCTGCTTCCCAATATTACCTTTAGGAACTCACCACCAATGACCTACTTCATCCAGCTAGGCCCTACCTCCTAAAATTTTCATTGCCTCCCAGTAGCACCATGAGCTGGAGACCAAGCCTTCAACACATGAGTTTTGGGGGAACATTTAAAATTCAAATTATAACAAATAGCAATATTCTCAGTTTGATCATCATGCTGTGATTATGTAAGGACTGTCTTTTTGAAACATCCACTGAAACTGAGGATGAAGGGGAATGCTGTCTGCAACAGATTACCCAACAGTTCTGAAAACAGTAATCACAATGATATTTTTGGTAGTGGAGGTTAAACCAAAGATTCTTTACCACTAAGCTATATGCAAGTCCTTTTTATATTTGATTTTAAGATAGGGTCTCACTGAATTGCTGAGAGTCTTCCTAAGTTGCTAAGACTGTCCTTGAACTTGTGATTCTTGTGCCTCAGTCTTCTGAGTTTCTGGGATTACAGGCAAGTTTTTTATTTTGTTATTGCAAGGAGTTTTTTATTTTGTTATTGCCCCATAATGATAATAATTTTGATGATGATTAAAACATAGAGAAAGAAAATGATCAGATAAAATGAAGTGAAGGTCAGAGGAGGAACCCATACTATTGTAACTTTTCTACAAGTCTGAAATATTTAATAAAAATTTTTAAAGTGAAAAATGGGAGATTAAAAATTTCTTACTGAGATTATTAAATCAATACATTTTCTCTGCTGTCACGGGTATTATTATTATCATTTTGCTGTTGGTATTATCTGGCAAAATCAGTTCTTCCCACCAGAAGCCTTTTCATAGCAGCAAAGGGGAGGGATAGAAGCTAGAAAGTCAGCTGGTGAGTCAGGAACCAAACTGAGTCTCTGAGAAGGAGCCTTGAGATTTTTTCCCCTTCAGATTGGCTAGAAAAGCCAAGATAAATTCCCCAGGGACCACCCACCTGGAAACCTGAAGAGGAGGGGTTCTTCTGGAAATAGTTGTATTGGGTGGAGGGAAGAGTCAAGGACAGCCTGACAATGATAAAAGAGGCCATCTAGGCTTGGATTGTTCTAGGCTCAGAGAATGGCCTAGAGTAACTGAGGTAAGGGAGCAGCAAGCACAGCTTCTGGGGACCTAAGGAGAGTAGTGATGATATTGGCAAGGTGCCCGCTCAGGACCAGGAGATCTTTCCAGATCCTTGAGGAAAAGAGAGATGAGGTGAGGGGTTCACATGGGTCATCCCTGTCTGAATGTGAAACTGGACCCTTTGGACCTTCACCTGTTAGCCCATGCAGAGGCAGGTGGGGGTCAGGAATGCTCTGGTAGCCCCCAGTCCTGAGGCAACCTCAGGGTGATGGCACAGTTCCTCTTGTTACACTTCCACTGGTTGTGCCTTCTATTGTGTGAGCAACAAGCCCACACGCAACCCTGTCTCATTCTTTTTGAGATCTGCTGAAGCATTTTGCCCCTGGCACGAGGCAAGGCTCCCCGGTGGCCTATGCCCTACCCGACTGGTACATCCACCACAGCAAGCCACCCACGGCCCACCAGCATGAGTGAGTATCTTGAAGCACCCACATTTTTTTAATTGAAAAAATAGTCCAATTTGTACTTTTAAAAATATAAATATCTAATACTGATAGCAAGTGTGTGATATCACAGGTCTAGGTACTATTTTTCAATAGCTAGCTCTTTAGGAAATATAGCAGAGTTGTCAGAAAACCAAAGTTGGAGAAACATGGAGCATCTTGTGTCCCCCTTGAGGTGTGGGTCTTTGGCTGCTTATTGGTAAATAGCTTCAGATTTTCTATTTTCTGACACGTGGGATATCCCCATGTCTGTTGGCTGCAGAAACAGCAGCCTGTCTAAAGCTTTCTGATACAGATGAAATACACTAGATACAGCTAGAAACGGAGGTACATCTAAGTTTCTATAATGATTATAGAATTGTAGGGAGCCGTTGTCCCCCACAATGTTTGAAATGAATTCCTGTTTGTGTTATGTAAACTTGACCCTCCAAACCACCTCTCTTGGACTGAGAGAAAGCATGAACAATCATTCTGGTTTTTCGTTTTTATTTTCCTTGTAAGATAGGACCACCATAGACATGCTTCTAAGCTATTATCTGGTGTCATCTGACTGAGGGTTCTGTTCATGGTCACAGAGTGATTTTTGTGTTCAAGATTTTGATTTTCCTGCTTTTTTTGTGTTTTGTTTGTTTGTTTGGATAGGTAAAAAGAACACATAAAATTTATGCCATGCCTAAGGCATGGGAACATTAGACTTCTCTCATTTTAAAAAATGAATATTCTGTTTGCCTGCCTTGCATAAGGTCCTGGGTTGACCCCTGCCCCCCGACCCCTGCCACACACACAAGAATAATTTGTACTAAGTGCAGTAGGAAAAATGAATGAGGCACTGTAAAACAGAAAGGGGTGCAGAGAAATTTGGAGATGTCTCTTCCGGGTATGGTGTCAGTGTGGGAAGATCAGTTTAAGTTTAAATTTAAATTTAAACACACACATTAAAAATGACTGTCCAACAAAAAATTATTATCTTAATTATAATGTTAAGTGGTAAATGTTTAGGGATGTTTAGCTCTTTGAACAGGACAAAATAGTAGATGCTATTCTAAAAGAAATAATTATAAGTTATCTGCTTCATAAATTTGTATTTTAATATACCTATTTTTAGTCACATGAGACTGATTTCTGAGTTGACCTCCTGATCCTGGGGGGCTGTCCTGGAGAAGGGTGCATGCGTTTATTCAGCATGAGCAGAGTGGGGGAAGGCCATCTGTGTCTTTGAGAAAGATGGATGATTCCTATATAAAGAGTGGGAAAGGGGTTGAGAAGAGAAGAGGGAGAGAATGAAATGGTGCTAGGTACCAGGCCATAACTGTCCCTTCTGTTCCTGCAGAGTTCCTGTGGTCTCCATGCCAGACTACATGGTGTATGAAGAATTCAACCCTGGTCAGTCCAACAGTAACTATGAATCCAGAAGAGGGCCCTTTGACTTTGACATGAAAACGGTTTGGCAAAGAGAGGCCGAGGAACTAGAAAAGGAGAAGAAAAAGGTGCCCTCATAAATAGATGGCATCTGCATCTGCTTTGTTTCCATGTCTCCCTGAGTAATTAAGGGATGAACTTGTTAGCTCCTGCCAGTGTGTCTTAAGATGCCCATAACATTGTTCTTGTACTCAGAATTTTAAGTTTCATTCTACTAAAAGGCAAGCCTGACCCTGTTGTCATTTTCTTTTTGTAAATATTGATTTTATAGGTAAGGTTACTTTTTATTAACTGTTTTTCAACCAGTTAATACATATGTAGGGGAAATCTGGCATAGCACTATGATTTGGTACATGTAGGAAGGATATCTTGCTTCTGATATCTTTGCACTTTAAGTCTTTAAGTTGAATTTTTTCCTGGAATTTCCTCACTAGAAATAAAGTAAGAGAAAAGGAATTCTTTTTTTCTGTACAAACTCCCAGGGGTATATTTGATTACAAAGGGGAGACAGATCTCTGAACTGAAGACTTCTTAGGCAATTTGCATTTTTTGAATGTGCAAATATTTACAAAGTGGTAATCAATTTCCAAGACAGGTTTGCTAGTTGTCTTATAAAAGAGTAATTTTGGAGACTTGTCTCCTAATACTCTATATTCAATACTTAGTATTTTTTATCTATTCCTTTTAGATATACATGACAATAGAGTATATTTTGACATATTATACATATAATATATGGAGTATAATATTCTAATTAGGATCCCATTTTGTGGTTGTTATGTGATGTGGAGTTTCACTGGTCACATACTCATATATGAAAGTTATGTCCAATTCATTCTACTGTCTTTCCTATTCCCTTCCCCAATCTCCCTTCCCTTATTCCCCTTTGTCTACTCCAATGAACTTCTATCCCCCACCCTACCATTGTGTGTGAGCATCCGCATATCAGAGAGACTGAATTGGTTGATGGGTGGTTGAGATCTCTTGATAGAAGCCTGTCTGGTCTCCTGGCTTCCTCTTGGGTACCTCCAGGATCTCCAGGGACCACAGTAAGGCCCCTGGCCCCATTGAGGGCTTGACATTGCTATTAGCACTAAGGTCTGAAATTAGTCTTTGTGTTTGAGACATTGGGATTTATGAGTGAAATAATGAAGTTTGTATTAAATATGGCAATACTGTTTCGATACTGAGAACGAGAGCCAACACCATTGTTATTTGAGTATTGAGGAAACTAGGTGTATCTTAGGCACATCCTACTGATTCCCAGGCCTCACTTATCAGTATCCTGGTATGTAGAGGACCCTCAGTTTATTTGGAGACTTGGGTAGCTGAGTACGAAGTACAGCATGAGTTGGCTGCAATGGGCCGCTTGTTTATTCTTCAAGCCATCCCCAGTGTTCCACTGTCATTCTGGCTTTGGGCCATTAGCATGTGTATGAAAGTGGAATGGACTCTTAGGGATCAGGCCTGTTTCTCAGTGTTATATAAGTGACCAGTTACACTGAGCTGAAATCTTGAGCACATGGATGTTAACCACAGTTAGAGTACAGAGCTAGAGAAATTTTAAAACAGTAAATGCTGCATCACTGACAAATTAAATGTGGTTATTTATTTAGTAACCACTTTAAAAAATTGTGCTGAGGGCTGCACAAATGCCTGAAGCCAATCTGTCTTCCCTTGCCTAGCATGCTGAGGAGTGATGATGTCCAAGAGTTCAAGACACTGACACTGAATAGGTAACAGCTGAAGGCATGTGGTATTGGGTAACTTAGGCATGAGCCACATCGGAGAAGGGCCCAGACTGCCTAAGCAAGATCACATCATCCTCACTTAGGACAAAGATTACCTAGGAGTATTTATTAGGCTAAGGTGGGGGAGTTCTTTGATTTGATTTTCTTCTTGTATCTTATAAGTCCTTTTGGCAAAGGTACAGTGAGAACTTGAACCTGAGAAGTATCACAACACTGAACTAGCAGGTTGTACTAGAATTTCCTCCTGCCACTCTGTAGCCTGTCATCTATGTCCTAGGAAAGATTATGGGACGCAGCACTTTCCACAACCATGCCCTGACCCCTCCCTTAGCATGTGGAAGATGCTTGAGAGTATTTAGGGCAAATATGCTACTGGTTGTTAGCCAGAACTCAAAGGATCTTGCTCACTTGCTGGGTGATTAGAAGGGTTTTGTTAGCATCTTTTCTTCTTGTAAATGCTGATATACTTCCATGGGTTTTGCTTGCTTTTTTTTTTCTGTTTCTACTACCATTTATATTGTTTTTAAAAATAAGATACAAATTGAATACAGGTCCCTGTTTGTATAGTACTGTTGGATAAGTTTTGACTAATGTATGCGTTGTGTGAACACCACAGCCATTGAGCTATAGAGCAGTTCTGTCACCACCCGAGTTTCTCAGCCCCTTTTTCATCAATACCTCATGACTCCTAACCCTGGCAGGCAATGATCCGTTTTTTTAGTGTTATGTAGTCCTTGACACCTGGCCCTGCCACCTGCCACGTGGCCTTATGCATTTGCGATGCAGCCAAACTGTTAGGAGTGTCTGAGCCTGGTTCCTCTGTATTGTGGAGAGGTGTTTCGTTATGGGCCATTTGTACTATTATGGTGCAATTTGTCCATTCACCTGTCAATGGACATTCAGGTCACTTGCAGTTCTTGGTGATTATTACTAAAACCGCTGTGAACCTTGGCATGCATGGCTTTTGTGGGAACATATGTTCCAATTTCCTCTGGAAGTTCCATCTGGATGGGACCTCTCATAGAGCCTCCAGCATTTCCCAATAAGTTGTTAATCATTTCATTCTTGAGTAGATGGCATCTTTACTGGAATGCAACGCCTTGTCCCTTTTACAAAGCCCTTTTGTTGAATGGGATTATTGTTGGGTTACATTTCATTGTAACTAAATCTATTAAATACTTACCGCATTGAAAGGCTAGTCCTATACAGTTTGTTTGTTTGCTATTCTTGGTGAATTTTCATCTCTTGACTTGGGGATTTGTGTTTCCATACAGGTGAGGCTGCCAGCCATTAACTCAAAATATCCAAGCAAAACGGGGACCCCGCTTGGCCCTAAAGACACTGCTGGAAGCAGACTGTCTTTCCCTCCCATGTAAGTGCTCAAACTATGCTGACAGATCTATAAATGAGATTTGGAGTTGCTCTTCCCACTTCTGTCCAACCATGACAATGACAACATCCAGACAACTTCCTGCAGTCCAGCCCACAAGGCTCTGACCCAGCCTCGCCTTCTCCCCACAGCTGTGCTTTCATTTCTTCCTGACATTGATTTTGCAACTTTGAGCGCATGTCTTCCCTTCTGCATTGTTTGCTGTGCAAGTTTGCATTTTGGGCCACTCATCTTTGCACACTCATGCTGCTTCTCTTGATGTTTTCTGTCACCAAGACCTTAACCCAGAGGTTTGTGCCTGTGAGCATCTGGCTCTGCGTTCAGCTGGAGGGTACATTAGGCATGCTGCCATCTGTTGATCTTCTGGCTGGAAAGGGAAACTCTGAGGCCTATGTGTCTCCTCCCTTTCCCAGAATTCTGGTACACAGCTAAAATAGATGTCATTAATTGCCTGACTAATTCTTCAAATAGCTCTCATCCAATGGGGGAAAACCAGTTATATTAATTACACTGTAATAAATGCCATAAGACTGGGAGGGAGAGAAAGAAAAAAAGACATATATATGTAAATATGGAAAGGGGTGGAGAGGGAGAAAACCATTAGAATAATACTCTTGACAATGAAGTGATTTATAAGTAAGAAACTTGAGGCTCATAGGGAACAGGTATTTTTGCACTCATCACCTGCTTGAGTTGAACACTCACGCAGCCTCCACCACGTCAACTGCCCTGATCCATGGAGCTCCAGCAGCTGGTGAAAGTCTAAGTGAACAGTGACAAATGATAGGAGATAAAGCCATGTCAAAATGGTGGCAGATAATCTTTAATAAGGACAAGAGAGAACTAATTAAGAAAAAAAAATCATTATTTAAAGGTGTGATAATTCTGAGCAATCCATTGTGGATTAGACAGTGGTGTTTTTGAAGATTTCCCTGTCAAATGTTTGAATGATTATTAACTTGTAATTGGCTAACAGCAAGAAAAGTTTTGGAAACTGGAATAAACATATTCTCACCCATGTACAAGGGATACTTTTAAAATATGATTTTTATCCTTAAAAATGGAGAAGGAGAGACAGACAAAGGGAGACATACCCAGAGAGATAAAGATAGATGGGAGAGTCAGAAAAGAGAGAGAGAGAGAAGGAATGGAAGAGAGAATGCTCAAGAGCTCCCTTATGCTTTAAGAGCTAGTTAGGCAGCTGACTTATTATCAGTGTGTTCCCTGAATACTGTTTCTGGTTTTTTCATTAACCTTTGTAATTAAGTTTAACATTCATTTTTCTTTTTGAGGCCTGGTCAAAAAACCAGTTCCCCAACAAACTTTTCCAAACTTATTAGCAATGGCTATAAAGATGAATGGTTACAGCAGCAGCGAGCTGATTCCGACAAGAAGACGCCAAAGACGTCCAGGTCCTCAGTGTCATCTCAGTCCACACAGGATCCAGAAGGGTCCCAGGATACAGAGACACCCCAGGATCCAGAGGCTCCTGAAGGCTCTGAGAAAGCTCAAGATGAGGTGCACCCGGCAAGTGGTATGTCCTGCAGATTTTCATTAATTGGGGTGGCAGCAGGCAACTTTATTATCTCACGTTGCATCTCATAATGGAAAATAAGTAATTGAGAAATTATGTTTCCAAACCACAGGAGTATTAAGGTTACAGATAAACATAAGGAAAATACAAGCAAAGCTAATATGTAAGAAAAATCCATGACTTCTGGGGCTTCACATTTTTTTTTCATTAGAAATTTTGATATTCCATGTAGGGTAACAAACACTTAATGTATAAAATAATATCAATGTTAGTCTCCTGAATCCAAACAGTTATGGTCCTACAATGCTGGTCTTTGACATAAACAGCCAGTCTTCTTCAAGATTGCTTCTCAGAAAGCCCTTTATTTCTCAAAAAGAATGTCAAATTCAAACTCAAAAATTTGAAATTGCTCCATTATCAGCATGTCTTAAGTTTTGAATAATTTAGAACTTTCTCTGTAATTAGATGTTCAAAACACTATATTTTTGTTTTTTAAGAGTCACTGGGAGAATTAGTCTCATTTTCTTGGATGTGTGCACCTTAAAGCCTATCGAGTATTATGCTTTTTTTCCATGGCTCTGTTAATTATTGACCACTTGCCCCTGGGCTTATTAGTTTGTTTTTGGGTCTTTATTTCTTTAATAAGGGGGAAGAAGGCATGTCACGTCTGCTCAGGCATTTGAAGGATTTGAAGGGCTTGTTCCAAATTTTTTGTTGTTGTTGTTTTTTGTGAGCAGCTCTCTGCATGGCTTTCCACAGCCAGTTTCTGGCTGTTTTGGTGGAGGGACATCTGCCAATTAACAGGCTAACTCTCTCCTTTATCCTGATGGAGGAGATGAGTGACAAGTTTGCACAAAATATGGTTTCAAAGTGCCCTTTTGAACTTTACTAAGTTGATGGTGTTTTATGACTTACTGTTGTTTTAAGTAACACAATCTTTTACTAATTCTTCAAATAATTAAGAGTTACTTTAATACTTGGACTTTCCCATTAAACTGAAAAATGATTTATTCTTTATTGCAGAGTCTTCTCCTCCAAGTGAGTATTTATAGAGAAATGGATCTGTACTGAAATACAAAGAGTTTTACACAAAAGAATCAATGGGCAGAGAGTCCTTAAATCTGAGACTGCAGCCTCTGAGCAGCCTTCAGAAGCCTTCTCCAAACTGCATGTATTCTGACTCCAAAAGCCTGTGCCATATATACTTTTGAAATATGCAATCTGTTATCATTAACTGGTCACCTTGCTGTGTAGCAGATTTCTAGAATATATTTCTTCTAACTAAAACTTGATACACTTTGACCAACATCTTTCTATTCTTTATCAAATACTTCCAATACCCCAGCTCCAGCCTCTGATAGCCATCTTTCTACTTTTCTGCTTCTAAGTTTAACATTTTTAGATTCTACACGTGAGATCATATAGTCTTTGTCTGTGCTTGGCTTATTTTACTTAGCATCATGTCCTCCAGGTAACATTCATGTTGTCACAAATAACAGAATTATCTCTGTACATGGCTGAATAGTATTCGATTGTGTATGTATGCCATTTTTTTCTTTATCTGGTCATCTGATGATGACACTTAGGTTGATTCCATATCTTGGTTACTGTGAACAATGTTGCACTAAAAACGGGAGTGTAGATATTTCTCTGATATACTGATTTCATCTCCTTTGGATATATAAACAGTGGTGAGATAGCTGTATCATGTGGTAGATCTGTTTTTGGTTTCTTGAGGAACCTCTATACTGTTTTCTTTAATGGATGTACTAATTTACAGTCCTATCAACAGTATGCAAAGATCTCTTTTTCTCCACATCCTTGCCAACATTTTTCTTTCATTTTCTTTAAACCAACCATTCTGTCCAATATGGAATGACATTTCATTGTGATTTTAACCTTCATTTCCCTGATAATAGTGATGTTGAGAATTTTTTCACATGCCTCCTGGCTATTTGTATGTCTTCTTTAGAACAAAATATCTGTCGGGTCCTTTGCCTGCCCATTTTTTATTTTGATATTAATCACTTATCACATGTATGGTTTCCAAATATAATCTCCTACTATATGGGCTGTATTTTCATTTTGCTTATTGGTTCGTTTGCAGTGCATACGTTTTTAGTTGGGTGTGATCTTATTTGTTTTTGTCGCCTGTGCTTTTGGTGTTCTATACACACAGTCATTTCCAAGACTAACATTTGAGAGATTCTCCCCTGTATTTCTTCTATTTACTTTTATAGTTCAGGCCTTTGATTTAAGACTTCAATCTAGCTTGAGATGATTTTTATATATGGTGTGAAGTGAGGGTTCAATTTCCATTCTATTGAATGTAGATATCCAGTATTCCCAACAACATTTAATGAATCAACTGTCCTTTTCTCACTGTGTATTATTGTTACATTTGTTAAAAATCAGTTGACTTTAAATGTATGAGTTTGTTTGGAGGTTCTTCCTATTCTATTGTTCTACATGTCAATTTTTGTACCAGTACCATGCTGTTTTGATTACTCTAGCTTTGTAATATATTTTGAAATCAGGTTGCACATTGCTTCCAGCTTTGTTATTTTTGCTCAAGATTGCTTTGGCTATTCTTGGTCTTTTATGGTTCTATATGAATTTTAGAGTTTTTCTTTTTGTTTCTGTGAAAAATGTCATTGGAATTTTGATAGGGATTTCATTGAAATCTGTAGATATTTCTGAACAGGATGGACATTTTAACAATATTAATTCCTATAATCAATGAATATGGAATATCTTTCCATGTATTTGTATCTTAATTTCTTTCATCAATGACTTCAGTGTATAAGCTTTGCATCTCTTTGATTAAATTTAATCCCAAGTAACTTTCTGATGTTGCTGAGAATCAGATTGATCTGTTAGTTTCTCTTTTGGATAGTTCTTTGTTAAATGTATAGAATGCTACTATTGATTTTTGGATGTTGATTTTGCATTCTGCAAGTTTAATATATTCTTTAATCAGTTATAACAGATTTTTTTCATGTTGTCCTTTGGGGTTTTCTATAAATAAGATTATATTGTCAGCAAAGTTTAACTACTTTCTTTCCAACTTAGATGAATTTTATCTATTTTTCTTGCCTAATTGTCTAGTTAGGATGTCTAGTACAATAATGAATAGAAGTAATGAGATTGGGTGTCCTTGACTCATTCCTTATCTTAGAGGAAAAACTTCCACCTTTTTACCATTTTTTATGATGTTAGTTAAGAACTTGTCATATATGCATTTACTATCTTGAAGAACAGTCCTTTTATAATTGATCTGTTGAGAGTTTTTATCAGGTCACAATGTTGAATTTTATCAAATATATTTTCTATGTCTGTTGAGGAGATCACATAGTTTTCTTCTTCTTCTTCTTCTTCTTCTTCTTCTTCTTATTATTATTATTATTATTATTATTATTATTATTATAGTTTTGTAGTTACAGTGTATTTGGGTTCATCCTGACAAACTTATACATGCATGGAAATCTCTTTCAGTTCATGATTCCCCCCATTTCCTTTCCCCCTTTTCCCTCCCATTCTCTCTCCCTCTCCAATTTCCCTTCCTCTACTCTGATAGACTTCCTTTCACTCATCTATTAATTTGTATTTGATTGTTTTATGGGTTTTTTTTTTTTTTTTTGGTACCAAAGTTTGAACCCAGGAGCTCTTAACCACTGAGCCATATCCTTTTTTATATTTTATTTAGAGACAGCGTCTCACTGAGTTGCTTAGGACCTCGGGAAGTTGCTGAGGCTGGCTTTGAATTCAGGAACCTCCTGCTCAGTCTCCTGAGCTGCTGGGCTTACAGGCTCAGACTGCTGTGACCAGTGATTTAATTGGGTCTTTATGTTATCATATCCTTCCCTCCTCCTTTCCTTTATTTTACTCTAGCTTCTACATGTGAGAGAAAACATTGGATCTCTGAGTTTCTGATTTTAACTAATTTCACTTAGTATTCTCCATTTCCATACATTTCCCAGCAAATGCCATAATTTTGTTCTTTTTTTATAGCTGAGTAGAACTCCATTGTACATATTCCACAATTTCTTATTCCATTCACCTATTGATGGGCATCTGGGTTGATTTCATAATTTAGCTATTGTAAATTATGCTGCTATTAATGTGGCTGTATCACTGTGGTATGCTGAGATCATAGTGTTCATCCTTTAGTATAGCAATGTGGTAAATCACATTTATTGATTTGTGTGTTTTGAATCATTCTTGCATCCCAGGGATAAATCTGTTTGATAATAGTGTAGATCTCTTTAATGTGCTGCTCATTTTAGCTTGCTTGTATTTTGATGAGGGTTTTTGTATCTTTGTTCATCAGGGATATTCACCTGTAATTTTCTTGTAATATCTTTGTCTGGTTTTAGTATGAGGGTAGTGTGGATCTCATAAAATGTTTTTTTTTTTTTTTTTGGGGGGGGTGGTGGTATCAGGGATTAAACTCAGGAACACACGACCACTGAGCCACATTCCCAGCCCTATTTTGTATTTTATTTAGAGGCAGAGTCTTGCTGAGTTGCTTAGGACCTTGCTAAGTGCTGAGGCTGGCTTTGGACTCAAGATCCTCCTGTCACAGCCTCCTGAGCTGCTGGGATTACAGGCATGTACCTCTGTGCCCAGCTTCATAAAATGTTTTGAAAGTGTTTTCTCCCCCTACTTTTTTGGAGGAGTTTAATAAGAATTGAAATTTGAATATTTTATAGAATTCAGCAGTAAAGTAATCAGGTCCTGGACTTTCCTGTGATGGAGACTTATTATTACAGATATAAAGGATTCAGTCTCCTTCCTCTTTATTGATCTGTTCAGGTTTTCTGTTTCTTCATGATTCAATCCTGACAGGTTTTAAGTTTGCAGGAATTTCCCCATCTCTTCTAGGTTGTCCAATTTGTTAGTAATTGTTCATAAGTCATCTCATGAGCATTTGTGTTTCTGTGGTATCAATGTAACGTGTCCTCTTTCATATTGTTTTTTTTTTTTTTCTTTTGGCACCAGGGATTGAAACCAGAGGCACTTAACCACTAAGCCACATCTCCAGTCTTTTATTTTTTTAATTTTTTTTCAATTTTGAGACAGAGTCTTACTAAGTTTCTTAGGGCCTCACTAAGTTGCTGAGGCTGGCTTTGAATTTGCAATCCTTCTGCCTCAGGCTTCTGAGCCACTGGGATTAAAGGCCTGTGCCACCGCACCCAGTTTCTCTTTCATTTCTGGTTTTACTTGAGTCTTCTATTTTTTTCTTGGTCTAGTTAAATATTTGCAGTTTGCTTTCAGAAAATTAACTCTCAGCTTTATTGGTCTTTTCTATTGTTTTTTAAGTATCTATTTCATTTATTCCTGTCTCATCATTATTCCTTCCTTCTGTTAACTTTGGGCTTAGATTGTTCTTTTTAGGAATATCCCCCCCCCACACACACACACACCAAGTTTAGAAATGCACACGCAGTGACTGCAGAGGTTCACCCGCATGGAATATGTTAGGGTGAATGGTTTTGAGTAGATAAAATTTTCTTTCTCACTAACAAAATACAGTCAAAGGACTACCACTCAGTATTGGTATAAGTTTATCAAGTTTATGTCAGGAAATACATCATTTAGGTATTAAGTAACCCATGGGCTACGTTAGCAACATGACCTGTTTGGTTCCAGAGAGATATTTAACCATCCAAAATTAACAAAATTTACAATAAACAGCCAAGTGCCTATAATCTGAGAAAAGTGCTTGGTGGATGTGAGCAAGGAGGACTGTACCATGGAAACCCAGCCCCCTCCCTCCCCCTGTGCTGGGGCTGATGGGGCCACATTCTCTCTCACTCGCATTGCCTTTTTATTTCTGCCACTTCCTGACTTCTTCTGTTTCCTATTTCTCCCCATGTCCACTGTGGTTTAACCTTTATAAACAACATTTCCAAACCAGATGGTGCCTTTTTCCTTCTGGCTAGAAAATGCTCCACTTTGAGCTCCTGCCATAACTTTCTGGAAATAAATCTAGTCCAGGCTTCTTATTAATATTTTCTTCCTTCCAGGGGACACAAGATGATTATTGTTACTTTACCCCTGTACCTGCGTAAATGCTGTGTTGTGTCAGAAAGGTGACCTTTAGGTTACGGATTCGGCTTTATACTTTGGCAGGCTTGCTCACATTTGTGAAGGGACATGAGACTTGGAAGAGAGGGGCAGAGGCTGCATAGAGTCTGCTTTCCAGCTGAGGAAGAGGCACATGACTTAAGTGCAGTCGCCTTCCTGAGACTGTGCTCACACTGTTCAGTTATGCTCAGCATGTTGTTACCAGAATCTTTACGGCATGGACGAGCATGACTCAGAAAGTAAATGTCATTCATGGGGCACTTTGTCCTTTTCTCCCAGTGCCAAAGTTGTTTTCTCATGTTTTCCATGTACAACTGGTCCTGGGAAGTAAGACTCTATGCTAATTTTTGTGTAAACTTTGGGTTCAGTTCTCATGAACAGGTACAGAAATGTTACTTTCTTTTATTTTAAATTAATAAGTGATTTTTTAAAAATGTATTTAAAACATTGCGTTTGTCTACTCATGTATTTACTTTGTGTTGCAGGCCCAGAAGCATCTCCAGCTGCATCGACACCAGCAGAGCTCAAATAAACCTGGGTGTAATTTTTACAATGACATTTTTAGTAGCTAACTATAATACAAATCAGGGCTGTATTTATAAGGCTCCCATTTGTATATTATTAATATAGATTTTTATAGAACAATTCATCTTGCAGCATATTTGGCATTGCTGTGGCATAGACGGTGGAAGCGTTGGTTTTTGTTTCTTGCCTTTCTCTAGGGTGTTAAACACATGGTCAGTAAACACAACCATGGCCTCTATTACCCTTTCCCTTGTTGGCCTGGTAACATCCCAATGTCTTGGGACTGATCACTTCCTCCCTGACATCCACTAACATCACTTCCTGTGTGCCCCATGGTGGGATGGAATTTCTGTGAGATTTTGAACTAGAAGATCAACAGAATAAGCTTCAAGAATCTTCTGTTCTTTGCTCTTTGTAGGAATAATCTTCCTGTTACAAAACAAAATTCCAGAATATGGTGATATCTTTTAGATTTTAAGAAGATTTTATTATACCTTGATGTTTTAAGAACTTAATATAAAACATTGTAACATTTGCTAGTCTTAAATTTTTGCTAATACTTTCAGAATAAACTGAAGTCCATTAAACTAAACACTTATTATTTTGTATCATCTAGGAAAAAATATATATTTAATTTTAATATGTAATTTAGTAGGTATAACAAAAACTTTTTAAGAATCAAGATTGTTGTTTTATAAATGTTGTTCATATAGCATTAAAAATATAGTTTTATATTTTTGACATTTAATTCATTGACTAAATAAGTTTTGACAGGAAAGTTTTTAGGAAACCAATGAGGTTACAGATATTTTAGCTTCTTTTCCCAGAATTAACTTATCATGCATTTGCTCAGCTAAAATTTGTTTTAAATTAATTCATTAACTGGCCTACGTGAGCACTTATATCTATATTGTTTGATCAAACTTATGGTAGTATGGGGGAATACATGCAATATGTAAGAATGTGAATGGCTGTATGTATTGAATAAAAACAATATACCAATATAGTAAGTTTTTTCCTTTTTTTCTCCCCTTTCCTCCTCTTTCTTTTTTTACCTAATTCCTACCTCATTCCTACACATTCCCACCTTAATGAGAAAAATCATGAGAAACAGCAGAAGTATAGAACTCTTTAGTTCTTTTTTTTTAGGTTATTATAGTAACAGAAACCTGAGGCTTATGAAAAGAGAAGACAAAATTTGGAGAAAGAACTACTGATCAAATCTTGACCTCACCTAGAAGAGCAAGGGTCTATTATTTAAAAAATGAGTCTTGTAAATTAACTTTTTGGTCAGTAAAATACAGCAAACTTATTATGAAAACAGGAAATTTGCAATTCCATCCACTTGTTTTGAAATAAATGAGTTATTTCTTTAAAAAAATCAAGCTCACACTACATATAAATTGCCAGTTAAAACCAACAAAGAGATTTTTAAAGTAACATGACTTTCACATACTACACATGTGCATGGTGTACACCCACCCACCCAGATAGATGCCCTTCTTGTGTCCTTACCACTATCTGGTAGGCATCTGAACACCTTAGCTCACCACAACCTCACATGTACTTACTTCAGAGAGCTGGAACAGGGTTTTGACTTCTCTGAACCTCATTCTTCTCATCTCATGAAGATGAAATGGGCCTGGAGGCAGAGCTCTGTGGAAAGCAGAGCCGAAGGATTAGAGGAAAAGGGAAAGGTGACAGAAGAGCTTTAAGAAGGGGAACATAGAGCAACGCCAACAACTGTTCCTATGTAAAAATGGAAGAAAGCAAAAATCACTGTCAGTTACTAAAGATGTGATGGATGGTAGAGGGGAATGAGTACTATGCTCCCCTACACTGGCCTTGCTTAGGCTCCATGAGACATCTTCAAAACTGGTTTGGGGGCTGTGTCTCAGTGGTAGTGCACTTGCTTGGCATGTGTGAGGCATTGGGTTTGATTCTCAACACCACATATAAATAAATAAAATAAAGGTCTATCAACAACTAAAAAAAATCTTTTTTAAAAATGGTCTGAATCATACATTAAAAGGGAGTAGAGAGCCCGGGTGAATTCACCAATGAATTCTGACCAACATTTAAGGAAGAAATACCAGTTCTCTAGAATTGCTTCCAGACTATAATCCCGGAACCCAGGAGGCTGAGGCAAATTAGAGGCCAATCCCAGTGATTTTGCAAGACCTTAAACAAATTAGCAAGATCCTGTCTCAAAATAACAAGTAAAATGGGTTGAGGATGTAGTTCAGTGGTACATTGTCACTGGGTTCAATCCTCAGTACTGGGAAAAAAAAAACAAACCACAGTCTCCCGGGTATAATACATAGTCTGTCCCTCCCTTCCTCCTTTCTCTGCCACCCCTAAAGAACATATTTAGTTATTTGAACGTTATGAAAAGCACAAGCACAATACAACCTTGGATTTTTAAAAAACTATCTCAATACATACCATTTTAAATAAGACAAACCGTGATATAACTCCACCACACTCTAAACAGACAGGCGGGGGGGTGGGGGTCACAGAGGATACTTCTGGGTTAGATGCCCACCCCTACATTCTCAGGGCAGCTTTGTCCTACAGAGACCTCAGCATGCTGGCTTCCTTAGGACTCTGGTGGACCTGCATGTTCTTTAGTAAGAATTGACTAATGAAAAGCTTCAGACCTTCTTGCAATATTCCTAGCTTTGGATTTAGACCAGTTTTTTTTTTAAAGAACATCTACAAAAACCTAAAGCTAACAATATACTTAATGGTGTGAAACTGAAGCTTTCCTGGTAAGATCAGGAATAGGGCAAGAATGTCCCATTTGACCATTTAATATCATACTGGAAGTCCTAATAAGACAGGGAAGTAAAAGTTAAATAGATTGGTAAGTGCTATGGTCTGAACATTTTTTCCCCCTCCAAATTCATATATTGAAGCCTAACCTCTATTGTGATGGTACTAGGAGGTTGAGGGGCTTTGGGAGGGGATTAGGTTATGAGGGAAAAGCCCTCATGAATGGGATTAATGTTTTTATAAAAGACCCCTTGTGCTTTCCACTATGTGTGAGGACACAGTGAGAGGATGCCATCTATGAAAGAGGGCTCTCACCAGACGCCAAATCTACCTATCCTTTAGTCTTGGGCTTTCTGAATTCCAGACTGTGAGAAATAGATTATGGTAGTTTATAAATAATACAGTTATGATATATTGTTAAAGCAGCCAGAGTGGATTGGGATAGACAAGAAGAATCTATGCAGAAAATCTAAAAGATAAGACAAAATACAAACAAACCAACAAAACCCTGAAACAAAACTCTTGGAACTAGTACCAATTATGGTAAAGTTGCAGAATACAAGGTTAACATATAAAAGTCACTTTCCTATATATACCAATAATGAACAAGTAGAATTTGAAATTTAACCACAATAATGTTTATAATATATGATAAAAATGAAACACTTAAAACTTAACAAAATATGTACAGGATCATATAAGGGAAACTACACAACTCTGAAAGAAATCAACTTTGCAAGAAATCAGAGAAGAACTAAATAAATGGAGAGGTATTAAACATTCACAGATAGGAAGACTGAACATATATTTAAGCCTTCTTAACTTGATCTACAGATTCTACACAATCTCAGTAAAAATCCCAGCAAGTAATTTTGTGCAAATTGATAAATGGTTAAGAAGAGGCAAGAGATTCTGAATGGGCAACACAATATTGAAGGAGAAGGTCAAGCCAGAGGACTGGCACCACACATTTAAAAGCTATAGTAATCATGACAATGTGTTATTGGAAAAAGAACAATCAATCAATGGATCAAGTTGGAGAGTCCAGAAATGGACCATGCAAACATAATCAACTGATTTTTGACAGAGGAGAAAAGGCAACCAATGGAGAAATAACACTTTTTCAACAAATGGTACTGGAATAATCAACATCTACTTGTAAAAAGAAAAAAAATCTAGACAAAAAATTACAGTGTTCACAAAAATTTATTTAAAAAGTATAATAGTCCTAAATGTAAAACACAAACCTACACAACTCCTGAAAAATAGCAGAAGAAAATCCAGGTGACATTGGTGATGACATTTAAGATACAACACCAAAGGTATGACCCATGAAAGAAGGAATTAATAAGTTGGGCTTCAATAAAATTAAAAACTTCTGCTTTATCAAAAACATGGTGTGATGGTTAATCTGAATTTCAACTTGAATAGATTAAGAAATGCAAAGTTTATGAGGCTTCTAAGTGTCTCAGTGAGGGTGTTCCTAGGAATGATTGGATGTGGGATGTTGAATTAAAGGAGAGACCTACCCTAAGTGTAGGCAGCACCACCCAATAGGTTGGAACCTTAGATGGAACAAAAAATTGAAAGAACAAGGAAGTCACTGCTGTCACAAGCTCTATTCTTCTTCGGCATGTTCTTGCTTGCTGCTGAATCACCTGAAGACATCAGACTCCAGCTCCTTCACTCTTCCAAAGCTGACTCTGCCCAGTGACTCTCTAGGAAGTTTCCAGGCCCTTGGTCCTAGTCTGGGGCCACAGCATTGATTCCTTTGTTCTGAAGCTTCTTAGACTGAGCAGCTACTGGTTCCTCCAGCTCCCCAGCCTGCAGACAGCCATTGAGGGACTATCCACTTCTGCTTGTGTAAGCCAATCTAACAAATCCCCTTTTTATAATCAGATAGATAAATAGATAGATAGATAGATAGATAGATAGATAGATAGACTCTGTTGGTTCTGTTCCGCTAAAGAACCCTAATACATACTGTTGAGAGAGTGAAAAGAAAGACCATGAAGTAGGAAAAAGTATTTGCGAAAGAAATATCTGAAAAGGACTGTTATTCAGATTATATGAAGAACTCTTAAAATTCAACAGAAGAACACTAATAATCCAATATAAAAATGAGTCGAATACTTTAACAGACACCTTACTAAAGATAGACAGTTGGAAAATAAACATCTGAAAAGATCTTCCATATCAGGGAAATGCAAATTAAAATAACAATCAGATACAATCAGATACCACTACATAACCTATTAGACTGGCTAAAATCAAGACCACTGATGACACAAAACACTGGTGAGGATGTAGAGCAACAGGAACTCATTGCTGATGGGAATGCAAATGTTACAGCCACTTTGCAAGACACTTCAGGGGTTTATTGTAAAACTGAGCATACTCATCATATAATCCAACAATTGAATTCCTTGGCGTTTACCCAAAGGAGTTTAAAATCTATGTCTATAAAACCTGCATACAGATGGTTAGAGCAGACTTATCCATAATTAGCAATACTTGAAAGCAACAAAGATGTCCTGAAGTAGGTGAATGGATAAAGTAAAAAGAAGTGAAAGAAGCCAATCTGAAAAGACTACATTCTGTGTGACTCCAACTATATAGCATCCTAGAAAAGGGAAAACTATAGAGGCAATAAAAAGATCAGCAATGGCCGGGAATAAAGGGAGGAGAATGAATAAGGAGGATTCTTAACTGTGGTGAAACTATTTTGTACCAGACTGCAATGTGGATACATGTCATAAATTTAATCAAATCTGTGGAATGTACACTACCAAGATTGAACTAAGAACTTTGAGGGATAATGATGTGTAGTCTCATCAGTTATAACAATTTACCACTCTGGTTCAGGAAGTTAACAGTAAGATAGATTGTGTATATTTGGGACTGGGGAGTATATGTGAACTATTTGTACTTTCTGTTTAACTATTCAGGCCTGTCAAGGTTATTTAGGATAACCTTTACTAAAAGTCAACTGATTGTGGATTAATCACATCACATCTCCCAAAGACCTTCAGAGAAAGATCTAGATTAGTGCTTGACTGAAAAACTACAAACTAGAATAAGTGGCCTGGCCAACCTGACACACAAACTGACTGTCACAAATAGTAAGTGATCCATTAAACAAATATTTGGGGGTTTTGTTTCTATCTTTTCACTTTTTGAATTTAGAAAATAACACATACAAAATAGCACATATCGAATAGCATCTAACTCATAAATGTTCAAATCAACAAATATTTATACATTAAACTCTCCTGTAATTGCAGTTAAGGTCCAAAAATGGAATAGTGCAGCCCCCAGGAGCCCTCCCATCCCTATACTCCTTATTGACAATCCACCCGTCCTGACCCTGACCCCAGCAATCACTCTTGATTTTCAGAAACTCACCTCCTGCTCTTCTTTATAGTTAGATTCTTTATTATGTCAACATACTTTCTTTTCACTTTGTTTTCAATTTAAAAAAAATTGTAGTATGAGTTCATGTCTTTCTTGTTTCACCAACATTACATGTTATTACACATATTGACTACATAGTCATTTCTTTTTTTTGGTACCGGGGATTGAACTCAGGGGCACTCAACCACTGAGCCATATTCCCAGCCCTATTTTGTATTTTATTTAGAGATAGGGTCTCACTGAGTTGCTTAGTACCTTGCTTTTGCTGAGGCTGGCTTTGAACTAGCCATCCTCCTGCTTCAGACTCTGGAGCCGCTGGTATTACCGGCCTGTGCCACCGTACCCAGCTCATTTAGTTTTGTTATTTATACAATGTACATTATTATATTAGATGAATGAATCCTATTTCTTTATCATCTGTTGTTTTTAGCTATTGGTTCTCATCAAAAAAAGCTTAAATCTTAGGA